GTCCTTTGAACTAGCAGTTTTATTTCTAGAATTCTCAGAGATGTGGGCAAAGATTGTGTGTGTGTGTGTGTGTGTGTGTAAATGCAAGAAGGTAACTGCAGCCTCATTTGAAAAAGTAAGACTTTTGGAAACACACCAAATATCTGAAAGGGTAATAGTTGAATAAATTACAATAATGTAAGGCAGCCATTATAAACAGTATTTTCAAACAATTTTTCATGACATAGGAAATTACCCACAATAGGATATGTAACTAAATATATAGTGCGGTTTCAAGCATGTTTCAGAGAAGCATATACAGAAAAATTACTACAATAAAATATACCATAAATAAAATTATAGTTATCTCTAAGTGGTTGAATATGACATGATTTTATTGCCTTTTTATAATAGTATGTATTCTAAATTTTCTACAGTAAGTTTTTTTAACTCATAATAAGGACAGGATGTTTTGTTTTATATTATGATTTTAACAAATGCATTAGGAACTACTACACTAAAGTCTCATTGCACACAGTTAATGCAGATGGTGTCATTAATCTCAGTACAAGAAAATTCCCATGGAGAGTCAGTACAAACAATGCTATTCATTTACTGTGTGGTTCCTGGCACATTGTTAAATCTGTCTCTCTACATTGCTGCTCCCACCTGTATAAATTGGATTTTAGAAATGATGATATGCCCATCACGTAAGGTTGTTATGAGGAACAGATTTTACTAAGTGTCTAGAAATAGTAAGTGTTCAGGCAACTGTCATTTTGCATTGGATTTATTAAGCTATTTAACTTCTGTTATGTTTATACTTTGCAGTTGTTTATTTTAAGGCTAGTAACAACAAATTTTTTATAAACTTCCCCTTTACTTTTGCTATAGCGAAAACATTTCCCTGTTTGCAGATTGTTGTTGACTTAATTAGATTCCTGGCACAGTCTCTAAAGGAGATAATTAACTTCACTAGACATAGACTAAAGCCTTAGACATTTGGAAAATTTATATTTCATGGACCCAGTTAGATCATGTGACAGCATCAGTTATGTGTCCAACTCTCTGCTAAGGCGTGAAGAAATCATAAGAGGATGATTTATACTTGTTGCCTCTAAGTCAACCGACATTTATTAAGTGTCTGTTGTGGGCCATGGATTGGGAATTAGAAATGAGAAAGATACAGTTTCTGCCCTCAAGGAGCTCACACTAGATATCCAGCAATCACATGAAGAAAAATAAACATACCATTGAAATCGACACCAAATAATGTGCATGTTGAGGGCAGCAGGGGGTAGGACAGGCTGGACAGGTTTCCCAGGAAAGAGGTCTGAAGTGTATAATAGCATTTAGGAGTAGTGGGAAGGCTACGGTGAGAAGCAGAGTTTCAGACAGAGGTAGCAGTAAGGACGAAGGCATGTAGGTCAAAGAAACATGAAACATTTGTTAAAATGTTGACCAGCCATGGGATTCGAAAGTGCTAGGTAGAAGGTAGAGTGGATGGGGTTATAAGACATGGGCTAAGAGAGAGAAGCAGAGGACAAGTCTCACTTTTATCTCAAAGTAGTGGGGAGGTGGTACTAGATTTGCCTTTTAGAAGTTTATTATCGAAGTGTGGAAGACAACTCTGGCCAATTTGGCTCAGCAATTGGAGCATGGGCCTGCAGACCAAAGAGTTGCGGGTTCAGTTCTGGTCAAGATCATGTACCTCGGTTGCCGTTCAGTCCCTGGCCCTGGCCGGGGTTGTGCAGGAGGCAACCAGTCAGTGTGTCTCTCTCACATCAATGTTTCTCTCTCCCTCCCTCCCTCCCACTCTGTCTGAAATAAATGGAAAAATATCCTGGGGTGAGAATTTTTTTTAAAAAAACATATGGAAGATAGACCAGAAAAGGTGTGGAGACAGACAAAAGGCTGTCACTGTACCTCTGAAGGTAAGAGGGATTGGATCAGTACAGAGACAATAAGAATGGTAGAGAGCAGAGAACTGTGTAAGAGGTGACCTGTAGTTGTATGGGGTAAAAATGAGGGAGGAATCTAGACTGGACTCCCCAACTCCTGAGTTGAGGAGCTAGGCAGACAGTGGGGTTAATCACCGAGCAGAAGACTCCAAAGGAAAAGCAGGTGTTTAGACATACTGATTTCAAGATGAGTTCAGGTCACTCACATGGAGTTGTCCAGTAAGAAACCTAAGGGTCTCGAGCTCAGCAGCACAATCTAGCTAAAGATAAAAATGTGGCCATTGAAGCCATGAGATGAGTAAAATTGTCCCAGGGAGAATCTGTAGCGTACATAAGAGAAGATGGCCAAGGGCAGAACCCTTACATTATAGCATTAGCAAGAAGGTCCCAGAGAGAAGAAAGTAAGCAAGCAAGAGACCCAAATCAAGAGGAGAAATTTCAAGACGTAGGGAATGGTCAGTAGAGTCAAGTGGTGTCCTCAGGGAATTTATAGTCCAGCTGGGAAGCCACTGCATCTACAGATGAAGAAACAAGGTAGAAAAGTTGCCCATGATTGTATGTAAGCAACCAAAAAGGACATAGCTCTCCCGGAGGTGAGGGAAAGAATGGAATTTTCCTGAAGCTTGATAAAGGTGACAGGACTTCACTGGGCCTGAACTATGGATAGAGATGAAACCAGGAGGTCATTTCAACGGAGGCCACAAGATTTATTCAAATCCACCCTCATGCCCCAAAATAACCAAAGGTAGATTTTTTTTTATTGATAGTAGCCAGCAGTGTCATCTTTGAATAGTGAAGACAGCATTTGGTTCCCTCATCTTATTATAACATGCGGTTCTCTTTTAGTTATGACTGTTGTTTAAATCAGATCCTATAAAACAGGGTGCAGTGTCACCTGGCATCACGTACAAGATTAACTTTATGGAAGTCATGACAAGAAAGCAGTATGGCTTATGCATAGCAGGATCATTCCAGAAACACAGATATGTCTGAACTTTGAGAATATCATGAGGGTCAATTCCAATGGGAAAAGACAAGTCCTGGCTATATACCCTCTTTATGTTATGAAAGTGAATTCTAAAATTCCTTTGCTTTAGTGTAGCTATTTCTAACGGAAATTACAGACCCTTGGCCCCATCTTCTCCCTAGCCTCTGCTGGCTAAGCTATGGGTATGTGGAAGGGAGCAGGAAAGGAGGGAGTTTTCTGGTGCCCTCTCCCACCCCTCCGCACCTGCCAGTCCCTCTCCATCCTCCCCTCCCATGGCCCTTTGTTCTCACGAACACGTGACTCGCAGTGCAACCCAGGCAATAACTCTTCATTTACCAAGAGGAATACCTTGAGGGCGGAAGCAGTCAGACATTACCGTGGGAAATAACCTGTCAGACCCTCTCTATGCTTGTCTGCCTACAATTCTGGCATAATGGTTGCTTCCCAGCACCAACAGTCTATCCACAAAGAGGAAGGTACAGAATAAGGAAAAGTCATTGGAAAACCAGGTTCCAATGCTGGCCGTGTCCCATCCTTAGTGACATGATCTCATGCAAGCCACTTAACCTCAGCTAGTCTCAGCCTTTGCAGTAGAATTGTTGTGACAAATGAGATGATATTTGCGAAGGAGCTTTATGATTGCAAAACACTATTGAAATGTTAGGCAGTGATGATAGGTGTCCTCATAGTCATGAGTGTGACGTGGAAGAAAGGGGGACCAAGATCTCTCCTAAAGCTGTTCTGAAGACCTGGACCTTCCATCCCAACTCTTGCATTCAGCCAGGTCTCTCCAGAGTGTCATCTCTTGCCCCTGTCTGTCTGTGCCGATTTACTTTGGCTCATTTTAGCCCTTGATGCAACCAAGCAATGCTAAGTAAACCCCATTCTCCCTCCTTTAGGGCATAGCGGAAGCCCTTGAAAACCACCCCTAAAGAAGAAAAATGGTAAACAGTTTATGAAGTGCTTCCTCTGGGCCAGGCACTTTGTTTGCCTGAGTTTCCTTTCCGCCAACCACAGACTATTCCCACAGAGGAGAAATTAGGAAGCCTTGCAGCTGAGACCAGAGGAAATTACATTTCTATTAAAAGCTGTCTGTGGCTAGATGTATCCATCTCAGGTACAAAGTTAAATGATGTAATAAACTTATTCAAAGACATAAAGCTATTACAGTAAATGCCATTAAATATCTACCACTCAATGTTAACAGAGTACGGCGATAAATCTCCTTCAGTTGTCATTTTGCAAGGTGCATGTTCTCAGTGGGTCATGCATCTGTCGGTTCCTCACTGTTGAATTCTGTTTCCCAGTCCTGGCAAGTGGGAGGTCAGGGTTGCCTAACCCGCTGAACTTGATGGCCTCCAGCTTTCTCAGTATTGTCACTTGTGAACCGGGGAGTGCTAAGTGTCTTCTCAGGCTGGTTCGCTGTGTTCTACCTGCTGACTAAATGCAGAGACTAGAGGCAAGGAGACCCAGCTAGCCGAGCCACAGCTCAGATTCAAGGTCGAGAGCTGACACAGCTACTCCGGACTTTGAGGTTGATTCGGAGCTTCTTACACGGAGCCGTACATGTAGGCATGAAGGGATGAAATGAAAGGGAAGAGCTGGGAGGAATACAGAGCATTATATCTGGAAAAGTGCCATGCCCCAGTTTTCCTGTGGTTATTCACCTAAATCCCAGGTGAAGAGGAAAGGCACAGAAGACCCAGATATATCTCATTCAACTCGCCTGATTCTCTGAACTTGCCAGGATTTCCATTTCCATTTGCAAGCCAAGCCCTAAATCCAGGCAGCCCCAGTGTCTTTGGGCTTCCCCAAACAGAATGCCGGGAGAGTAGACATGAGGGGTGTGTCGGCGATGGGGATGTGAGAGAAGCTTTCGGCATTTGCCCAGGTCCTGCAGGCAACGGTTATTTCCCCTGCAAGTGAGTTGGTCAGACCGGAGCAGAAGAAACGCCGACTTGGCCTTTGTGTGGTGTGACCGGCCTTGCTCTTACAGGTGCTCAGCCCTGGCAGGAGTCTGTCACTGCAGGTCAGCCGGGCCAGCTTCTGATGCTCTTGCTGTCCTTCTTCAGGAAACAGCATCCTCCATTCCGCTGCCGACAGCGTGACCAGCGCCGTCCAGAAAGCGAGCCAGGCCTTGAATGAGCGCGGGGAGCGGTTAGGCCGAGCGGAGGAGAAGACGGAGGACATGAGGAACAGCGCCCAGCAGTTTGCAGAAACTGCGCACAAGGTGGGTCCTGCAGACGGCCGAGGTCTCAGCTCTGGGCATCAGGGAGCTTTAATGCAAAGTAACTTTATTTCTGTATGTCTCCCATGATGGCAGCTGCAAAGTCAAGCCTTTTCCCCCCTGTACTTAGTAAGTACCATCTGCTACTTAGTAAGTACCATCTGCTACTTAGTAAGTACCATCTGCTACTTAGTAAGTTTCCATCTGCTACTTAGTAAGTACCAGAGTCACGACAGATTTCTTCTGGTCCTTGTTTCTTGGGATATCTCCTTTCTGAGGTCCCCATCCCCATCTCTGACCTTGGGCCTTTGAGAAAGGTGGACTGTCTTTTATTCCTGCCCAGAAGTTTAGGGCTCAAGTCTCAGGGAACAGTGTCAGGAGGGAGGAAGAGGTCAGGTCCCAGAATATCCCTCCTCCCTTGCCAAGTGCTTGGAAGAGGACTTTGGCTGCTTGTGCTGACTTTTCCTTGCTGTCTCTTTCCGGCCATGAGCTCAGCATCCTGTGTTCTTATCTTTTCACCTTATGAAAATCAAGCTTTGGCCGCAGGGCATGACCAGCGCCGTACAGAAGCTGGTGTGCAGGGCTGGCCTCCCTCTGCAAGGGGCCGTGGACCGCCAGGGCCCGCCTGACTAGTGCAGAGCTTCCCCGCCATGTCTGAACCCCGAGAAAAGCATTTCCCACGTGATGTGCCCCGGGGTACACACATCCACATTCTCACACCCCCTAAGAATGTGCCTTTCCGAAGGGGAAGGTGGAGTTTTTATTGGCAGCCAGCTCTCTAAGGCAGTCACAACCAAAGGAAAGCGTCCCCGTGGGTCCGACGATGGGATTTACTGCTGTTTTTGTGTTAGGTCAAACAGCAGTAGCGATTCAAATCGAGGTTTCCAGAAAAAGCTTCTGCTGATAACAGCATCTCAGACTCATGATCTGGCCCTACAGATATGCTTTTCAGGTGACCTTTTGGGGGAACCATTAATTTGCTTCAACAGAAAACCCTACTTTTGCTGAGGAAACAAGAATGGACAAACTGAAAAATAACAAGAAAAACCTCGCCAGCTGAGCGCAGGCATGAGGCTCAGGCTCAGACCAGACTGCAGATCCAATTCCAGGTGGATGCTTCCTGCCTTCCCTTCCTGCGTCCCCTCTGCTCAGACCTGTCTCATGTCATCAGTTCTCTGTCGTGACAGGGTCTCACTGCACTGCTGCTGGGGGGGCGCCTTTGGGGTTCCCAGGAGGAGAACTGGCCAGATCTGTTTGAAAATGCAGGCCGTCCTGATAGGGGCCAGCGCCCCGGCTTGCCGTGGCTGTTGCAAAAGGAGCCAGCTCAGATGTGTGGTTCTCCTGTCCCTTGATCCCTTCTCCAGCCTTCGTCACAGAGGAATAAAGATGAGATGGAAATGCTGGGATTCCAGCCCCAGCTCCATTGATAACAACAGCAACTTTAGTCATTTAAATGAGGGGTGGACAGAGGAAGTCTGGAGAAACATTTAAAGTGTTGATTTGGAGAAGAGAAGACTAAAGGGAATCATCTGTAATTGTCTTCAAGTCTGGGGAGGGTGATGGCACAGGCAGTTCTTTTTTGCCTGACCGCACAGAACGGAGCAGTCGATAGTGTGCTGATAAAATTCTGCTAAAACAAGAGCTTCGGTTAATGATTAAACCATGAACCAGGTTACCAAGGAAATCAGTGAAATCACTCTTCCTGAGGTGGAGCAGACAATACCTGGAGGTCATCCATGTGGGCGTCCCCTTCAGAGGAGCTTACACAAACACTGGACTGGGCAGCCTAACCACATGGCCAGAATGTGTGGCCCTGGTCACCCTGTTTCCCTGGCGGTATGCCAGGTTTGCTAAGTCCCTGGGAAGGCGGTATGGTAGGGTGGTTAACATCTTGTGTCTGATTTACCAGCTCAGTGGTTTACCTCATCAGTGACCTTGAGCAAATGCTTAATTTCTCTAAACTCCTCATCAGTAAAATATGGCTAATTAATGTGAGTACCTATCTTCTAGGGAATTGAGAGAATTGAATGAATTCAAACCTGTAAATCAATTAGCACAATATATGCACATAGAAATCTAAATTGGTATTTGTTACAAGTATGTCCATGACGATGGTTTCCGCTGAACCTGCCCTATTTGGTCACATAATGAGCACAGTGTGAGGGGCACAGGGAGTGGAGAAATGGGCTCCAGGATCCTAACGCAGGGGTGGGAGGGATTGGAGGGGAGATGGTGTGCTCTCCACCGGAGGTGGGGGGGGCGGGGGTGTTAAATGCGGTGCTTCCTAAGCACAGAGCAGCCCTTGAGACAGGAGCATCAGAACAGACACTGATCAGCCCACCAAAGGCAAAAGGACCTCTGGCTTTGAGCACCAGGAAGATCCCAGGCAGCCAGTGACACCTCTGTGAGCATTGTGAGGAGGAGAGGGAGGGGCTGCCGGAGCCTGCTGTGGGGGAGGGGAGGGCGGCTGCTGAGCCAGATGGGCATTGCACTTCTGCATTGGCAGTGCTCCTGACGAGGACACTGGCCTCTTTACATCAGGGGCGGCTATTTTCCTGGGGACTGGGACTTCCTGATTTGAACCCACTGGTGTAGGCTGACCGTGAAGATGTCATTTCGCTGGTCAACACCCCACCCGGCCTGCCGATGAGGAGAGAGTTCAGAGATGGAAGCCAGGCCCTCCACCCCCAAGACACGTGGCGGTGTTGATTCATGAAGACTAGGCTGTGTTTACAGTCAAGACTCAGTGCACATGTCAGAGCCCTGAGCAGAGAACAGTAATTCCAGGCGACAGTTCTTTGTGTTTCCTGGTCAAACGAGGGCACCCAGCTCTAGCTGGAGAGCATGGCCCACCTTCCTAGATTGCAGGAGAAAAGGATCTTCGCTTCGTAGCTTTCCCCAGTCCTCCTGCAGTGACCCAGGTATGTCAGCGAGTGGGTCACCTTTGCACAACCCTGCCATCAAGACATGAGGGTGCTTGTCTTCTGTAGAGCTGATGGAAAATGCTCCTGCACCCCCCTGCTTCTGCTCCATCAGCCTTGAGGAAGTGTGGTTCCTTCCTGAGCTGTGGGCTTGGTACAGTCTCAGCCCTTAGGAGAGCACAGCTCAGCCACGGAGCAGACCTGCTCGCTTTCCTTTGCCCCAGAAGTACAGTGTGTGCAGCGCTCTGGGGCCTGCCGTGGGCAGTGAGTCAGCAGGGGACAGCGGGACCCACACCCAGGCGGCAGATGACCTTCCTCACAGGAGGACTGGTGAGCTGCCCTGTTCTGCACGTGCCACGTGTGGGGGGCAGGGATGGTCAGTGGCATCTGTCTCACTGGCAAGGAACGGCTGCCTCTGTCCTTACTCTGTGTGCTTCCTTTGGGCCTATGAGCCAGAAGGGACCTCAAAAGTCCAGGCCTCTTAAAGAATCCCCCCAGTATGAGTAATGATTTTATTGTTATTTATCATTATTATTATTTAGGTGTCATAGTTTGCACAGCTTTGAAAGAGAAAACTGTCCATGACATATGGAGAAAACAAAATATATCAAAAGGAAATTTCAAACTACTCTTCTGTAGGAACGCTGACTTCTAAATTGGTCCATGGCATCTGAGCTGGAGCTGATATTTCTAGACATGAGGTACAGAGCAATTGTGACTTTAGAGCTCGAGGTCATATAACAGACCTGTGGCAGGGAGGCGACAGTCCCCTGCCTTCCATATTCTAGCTCCGAACTCCCACACAATTAAAAAACAAAAAACAAACAATAACAAAAAACCTAGATAGCATGGAAATGATGCCACTTTCTGACTTTCTTCGAAAATACCTCAAATTGCAGAATGTCCAATCCAGTCGTGTTTCTGCAGAGCTGAGCAGGCCACGCCCGGCCTGGCCGGGATTCCCTTGGGGCAGGTCCAGACACGCTGTCGTGGTGACCAGGGCCTGATGTGAGCAGCAGCCCCGTCGCTACCGAAGATTAATGACTGGGTGAATTGGCACATGCCCACTGGTTGAAGGTTAACAGCTCAGTAAATAACAGGACAGCAGCATTGATCAAATATTTATGGTTGTTATTCATTACACACAACACTTAACAGCTCTGTGTTGAGTTGAATGGTCCTCGTTGTTAAATAATGTATAAACACTAGAAGGCAGCAAGAAGCAGGGCCCGGAGCACAGGGGCTCAGAGTGTGGCTGGGAGAGGGACGTACCCTGGGGAGAGCCCCGCCTCTGCCATTTCCATCCACCATGCTTTCCATAAGCCCTTGGCGGTCAGGAGTTATAAGCCACCACCGTCCTTTGTGGCAAAAACCCACAGCACTTAGCACGTGGCCTGGGTGCACTCAGGACTTCACGAACACCGTCTGACAATGACTGACAGTTGGTGTCAGCACTGCAGAAGGCCCGTGGAGGTCTTCACTGAGGTTGTCTTCACCAGACAGAGGCACCAGGAGCTCTTTCAGCCGAGGTTTCCCAAGCAGAGTAGTTAGTTTAACAGCACGAGTCCCCTCTCCATCACATGCTGACGTGGCCCAGGTGTCGCAGCTGCAAGAGAAAGATTGGTGCTGCTCTTGCAGGTGCCCTAGCTGAGGCGGTAGCCCCAGGTTATAAGTTCTTCGTTGGCGACATCAAGGAGGAGAAGAGGAGCCTAGGATTGCCCTGGGTTACACTGGAGAAATGAATGGCCGACACCTTCCGGTGTGATGCAGAGCACCCCTGGGTGGACTCTGGGGTTCCTCTTGCTAGGTCTTCAAGGGCTGAGAACCCGGTCATGATGCAGATGACAGTTTTCTACAGAGTCGCCTACATAGAATCCCCTGCCCTTTGCTCAAAAAACATTCTTAATCCCACAACCCTGCCACCTACCCCCAGTCACTCCAGCCCCAAACTCAGGGATTAGTCCTATTATCAGACTCTGAACATAAGAAAAACTACAATTCAACCTCAACTCTGCATTCTGGGCTCCTTGGACAGGATCTGGCTGAGGCAAGCAATGTCAGATTTAATTTTATGTTTGTACCTGCATACATTTCCTTAAATATATCATCAGGGCTCCAGCTGGGCCGGGGAAGATGTTGAATAATAAGGTGGAATTTGGTGTTCCTATTTATAAAGATCTAACTTTTCAGTAAACTGCATTTCTCAAATACCAGTGGGAGAAGTAAGTCAAGGTCTGGACTTGGTTTACTGTTCAGCCCTAACACAATTGAATCAAGTGCTTTGGACTTGGTGGAATGTCCATGCCGGTTGGATATTGAGTGGATTACCGAAAATTGTTTCTCTACCACTGTTGATTTGTAATACTCGGCGATGTCAGTAAATACTTGTATTTGAGGAGTATTGGGTTTCCTGGATAACGAGTAACCCCTGAGGCCAGAGGCCTTTGTTTGTCTGCCCGCCCCTGTTCCTAGGGCAGGTCACTCATTCAGCCTGTGCACTGGCTTTTCCATTTGTTTCTGCAGTGGAACGAGGGCACGCGTGGCCCTCTCCCCACCTGGACACGTGCACTAACACAATTACTGTAAGGAGGGGTAACACATTCAGTGCTCCATGGGTGATTGGGGGAAACTTTGCACATTTACTAGATGCAATGGCGCTCTGCCCCAGCAAGCAGGATCTTGGTGCTGCGTCTTATCGTGGGCATGGGGACGGGGCACGGGAACGGGGCACAGTGGACTCCCGCTGCCTGACGACGTCTCCCTTTTCCCACGCCTCTCTCCCCTTAGCTGGCCATGAAGCACAAGTGCTGAGGAACTGCCAATCCGGGTGACCTTCTTCAGAGAAGTGGAAGAGTTTGTTCAGCAGTTTTTACAAGAATTCCGGACCTCCACTTGCTTCTTTTCTCCAATAATATATGGACATTTAGAGGTTTTGTTTTTCTTTTAAAGATGTTAATATGAAAAAGATGTTGTGTTTATATATTTCCCTAATGATCTTGGTAAGAATGCTGCCATAGCAACAGCTCTGATTTGTTTTTGTTGTTGTTGTTGTTGTTTTTCCACTGTGTGTATGTGTGTGTAAATGTGTTTTCCCTTTTTTTACAGTTTTTTTGTTTGTTTTGTGGTAGTTTGAATATGAAATTTGGACCAAATGATATACTGAGCTGGCTCTAGACTAGCATCATGTATTTTTTTTCCCTGATATTAAACAGAAAGACATTTTAATATGGTGACATCAGACACTATTGTTCCTGGTTTGAAATAAAAGTCAAGCCACGATTGGTTTCTCTCAGTCTCCTAGCTACTCTTAATTTGAAGGTTAAGATTCTATATCCAGAGAAATAAATCTGTGTTATGAAAAACAGTTGGATTCATCTGGGCAAACGGTAGTCTTAGATTTTGCTTTTTATGTAATAATCTTTCGCAGGAGCCATCACCAGCATTCAAAAAAACAAATCAGAATCATGGATAGACATCTCCTTTCTGAGGGACAGTGTAAATACTTGTTTCTAGGTTGATTATTTGAAATTATCGAACGAAGGAAAAAAATTTGAGTTTAGACACCTAAGAAAAAGCCTATTTAAAAGCCTCCATGCAATTATGGCTGCTTCTTTCTTTTGTCTTTGTCCCAAGTTCCAGTAGCTGGTATTGAAAAGAGCTCGAATTTTTATCAAGAACTGACTTTTCCAGATAAAGGTCTGTGTAACTGATCATGTGAAAAGTTACTACATTTAAAATCTTTTGTCTTTTCACAAAGCCATGCCTATTTTAGAGACACCCTTACAACGTCCTTGGGAAATGACCTTCAGGCTGCTAGTATCTGATTGTTTGGAAGTTGGATGTTATTGCTGTGGATTTATGTAGTGTAACTTCCAGGGGGGTTGTTGACAAGCTGCGTGTCACGGCACGTCCAGTGTGGCAGGTCCGACGTGGAGCAGCACAGCCAAGACGCCGTTGCGTCAGTCCACACCTGTGACTTCGCGTTACTGGAGGCAGCTCGGGGTCCGGAGCCCAGCAGTTTGTTTCCTAGAGGGTTGAAAAGCTACACAGAAAAGCCGTGCTTGGCCTTCTGCAAACAGGAGGTGAGCTGCACACTGTCGCCTCCCACCGCAGCGCATTGAGTTTCAAGCTGCCTGGACCTTCAGGACCTCTCTGTCCGGTCCCACCCATGCGGCCAGCTGAGTCCGCATGTAGCCTCTTACCTGGCAGTGTAAGGTGACTTCTGGATTATTTACGCTGGTTTAAATGGCCTAAGTCCTCCTGACAGAGCATTCCCGGGGAGACAGAAATTCGGGCTGGTGTGGGGGTGTGACTGTATTAGGCAGTATATCAAAAGGGAGATGGGATTTGCTGAAGACAAATTTCTGAATCCTCTTAGGGCGATGATCCAATTCTAAAAAAAAAACACCTCTCTGTGAAGTTTATATGGTAAACTATATAAGTTTACTATAGCATTTTGTACTTTTCTCTTGGTGTCTAAAAAGTTTAAAGAAACAAGAAACGTTCTTTCTGATGGGTACCATTAGAAGCATTTATAATTTCTAAGAAAAGCCCAAAAGATCACTCCAAATAGGTTTGTTTGCCGACCTCATTTCAGAAAATACACACGCACACATATTCATCTTCCCAAATTGGATTCTAGCTTCAGAGGTACATAGTTGGTATAAATAATTGAAAGGGTAAATCTAAACCCTCCCGACAATAAGCCAAACTCAAAAATACAATTTGTTGCCAGCTATCAAATAACACTGTTGGCGGAGCTGCTTCTGAAGTGGTGAAGGATGAGGTTCTTCCTTCCTGGTCAAATTGTGGTGGTTACTCTTCATAAATATGAGTATTCCACATCTTGCCCTCTTTCCTCACTCTATTTACCCTTCAGACTTAAGTCTTATTGTAAATAGCCTGGATTAGAAGAAGACCTATCTGAATTAGCTTCCTCTGTTGATTTGCTTCCAGACTGTAATCACGACCTTGACCTCCCAGTGTCAAATTCATATACAGGGCTCCACCCCACCGAGGGGCCAGAACAGCAATCTCTGTCCCTCCTCAACCCCTTAAACTCTTGGACAGGAGCCCTTTGATAACATACGTGAAGGTCTTTGCTATCCTTCTGTAGAAGGTGCTGCAATACAAAGTATTAATAAAATCTAACCTAGAGAAAATTGCTAAAATGATTCATTGTTTAGGATCAATTTGTTTGGTTGAGCTTACTAAAAGACATTTCATTTCTGTTTGTTTCATTTCACTCTGGGTTTTCAGGATACTGTGTTTTTGTGAAGGACTTTTATAAATTGTATTGACAATGCATAAAGAAAAGAAATTTCCCAGTGTTACTACTTCTTGGAATGTAGCCGTAGTATTCTTCACTAGTATTATTAGATATCTGTGTCCAGGGAGTATACAGTTATTCAGGCTAATGTTTCATATTAAAGAATGTATTTGTAAAATGTGACAGGATCGGTAGTTAACATTTTTTAAGCTCTGAAAAAAAAATAAAGATTATGTGTTAACTTCAAGTTACAGTGAACTCTGTCTTCATACTGCTCTTGTGGCTAATGGTTGTGCATTTGTGGAAAAATATTTACGGAATGCCCTAAGCGTGGGCTATTCACGATGGATCCCCCTCTAGTGTTTAGAATTGTGGCACTGCTGATTCTGCTGTACAGTTCATTCTTCGGAAGTTCCCTGAGGTGTCAAATAGAGTTTTTGTTTCTTCCAGAGACAAGTGACACCTGCTCATGATTCACTATTACAGCAAACTCTGATTTTGTCATTAAACATTTTAACTCTGTGATGAAAGTTTGTTTCTCTTGGTTATTTGTAAAATCTATAAAAACACTCCCAAATAGGTAGGCATCGTGTGCATTGATGGAAAATCCTGAGTGCCTAAGGCGACTGAAGAACTAGGGTTAGCATTAGGATAAAGTTGCACAACATTATGATAATGAGATCCTATCCAGCAAGCGTTAAATTTTTTTTTTTTTAATCCTCACGGGCAAAGCAATTAAACTGATTAATAGTTAGCTTTCTGCTGATGTTGGTGGTGTGCTCAGCTCAAGTACTTATTATAGCAGGCACCCTCACTCAGAAGACTGGTTTCATGCCCTGTTAAGTTGGAAAGAAGACTTGATCAAATTATGTCGATTTATTTTTATGGAAAAGTAAATGCAACTTATTGCATCGCCCCATTTGTTTTCAAGGGAGCTGACTTAGGCAACTACTGTAGCATAATAGCCACCTCTGGGTTGGCATGGACACTCGATAAAGCAGTCAGGACTTGAAATATTTCCTGGAAGGACTGCAAGTAGGAGGGAAAACTGCAGTCTCCGCTTTTCAGAGGGAAAAACAATGGATAGTTTAGCTTGATCAAGACCCTGCCTTAAATTAATTACATATTGAAATGCACCAGTGTTTGTGAACTAATTATAAACCAAGTGCCTTGTAATGGTGATCTTTTTCTTAATATCATTTTTATTTGTTCATCATTACACCACAACCAACTCTCAACTTTTATGGGAGGATCAACATGACAAGTGTTTTTAGAAAATCCAGTGGTGCCCTTTCCCTTTGCCTTCAATGAGAAAACAATTGACGTCACCCTCATCCTCGGCCTGGACAAGTGGGTTACGGGTAAGGGTGGGGCCGAAGTAGAAGGGGGAGGAAATACGGAAACACATTTCAAACAGAAATGCAAAGGTTTGAGTGTTATTGTTATCGAACCCCAATATTTGAGTCTGTCCACCTCTATGCATGGGCCGAAAGAAATACATGAGCAGGTGTGTGCAGTGAAGGAAGGATGATGTTTAGTACAGAAGTGGCCACTCAGAATACAGGCGAATTCCTGCCCTGAAATCTGGGCTCCCTGATGGTGTGTAGGTTTCAGATTATGTAGAGCAAAATCATAAGACACCAAGGGCTAGGGGTCATGTTGAGAGTTGACATAGGGTAATAAATCATTTCTTCATGTCTTGAGGATAGCTCTGAGGTCAGCTCCAGAGTCCCTGTGTCTGATTTCATGGAAAAGTAGCCAGGGGGTCCACCTTAGGGCTCAGGAGCTGAAACACAATGTAGGTCAAGGTGGAAGCGGTAGCCTGCCAGAGATCCAGACTTTGTCCTTGTGATCATAAGTCAGGTCTGGGCTATTGTCTTCTGCTGCCACTTGTGTTAAGGACTATCAACGGGAACGGCTGGGTCTATGAGATGAAATAGAGAGGGGGGGAGAGGGGAAAAAATGATTTCTAAAGCTATGGTCACAAATCAAAATCATGAGGCCCCTCAGTTTCACTGTGTCCTGTCGAAACTGTTCTGTGTGCTTCTTCACCTGCATGGGTGAGCCTGGGTGGGAGCTGGGCATTCAGTGTGTGTTCACCTAAGTGGGCACACGGCTGGCATCAAGGAAAGGGTTCTGTTTCTGGATGCCCCTGAAGTCACTTTGCAATATCTTTTTGCCCATCTGGACATGGCTAGGCAACTGACATTTTTTCCAGAGGTCAGTGAAACAGAAAAATGGCACAGGTGGGCCATTATCAAAGCATGAGAAATGTCAAGACTTGAGACATGAGAAATTCCTGGCTCAAAGCTCCTGGAACCCTTAGACTTTCCTAAGTGTTGAGAATTGAAATGGTGTATTTTGTTATGTTAATGAGTTGGCTTTAGAGATGTACCTAAGAATAAGGTTCTAATTGCCAAGGGAACCAACCACATGACAAAGGGTTGGAACTTTCAGCCCCAGCAACCCCACACCTCTGAAAAAGGGAGAAGGACTGGAGGGTTCAATGTCAGTGGCCAATGGTTAATCCATCATGACCATGGAACAAAGCCTCCATAAAAACTGAAGAAGATGAGGTCTGGTGAACTTCCGAGTTAGTGGATACAGAGAGAGTGGTGTGCTCCCAGAGGTCATGGAAGCACCTTGCCCCATGCATCTCTTCCATATGGCTGTTGTGAGTTACATCTTTTCACAATAGACCAGTGATCTAATAACATATTCCTCTGAGTTCTGTGAACCTTTCTAGCAAATTAATCATACCCAAACACGGGGTTGTAGGAACCTCTGATTTATAACCAGTCGGTCAGAAGTA